TTACGTTCAGGGGTCAGCAACCTTTACTACCAGAAGAGCCATTTTTGGTCCAAAAAAAAAAAATTAAATCTGTCTGGAGCTGTTAAATATATTTGAGCCTTATCATAAAGGTAACACTGCCTTATTAAGTCTAAATTAGCTTATCTTCATTACTAATTGGTCTAATTATGAATATGTTTGTCCATAACATACATTTTCACCTTGCATTGAAACTACACAAATCAGTCTATGCACTATTAAATTCAATAGTTTCCTCCAAGACTTTTCCTTTCTGGATTTGTAGTCCACGGTTAGCTTTGCTAAGGAGACTCAAGACAAACCACCCCTCTTGATGTTCGGCACAATTTAGAGAAAAGGCACCAGGCCATAGACGTCGCTATGACTCATATTTTAGTTGCCGAAATGTTAAAACATTTTTTAAATATGTTGTAGGCCTATAGGTTACACATTTTTACAACTGGATAGTGTAAGGATCACATTAGGCCTACAACAAAGATAAATGAAAATTAAAATGTTCAAAAATAACCGTGATTCATTTACATCCAGGCTAATTTTTGGTCGAAGCCACAGAGAGCCATTGGAGAGGGGCTAAAGAGTCATAAGTAACTGCAGAGCCGCAGGTTGTATTGGACAAACTGATCTTTTGATGATGCCGCTTGGTGAAAAGTCAGGGGATTACTAAGTTCATCATGAAGCTGACATGAGTGTGTTCCAAATTTCATGGCAGGTCAACCAATAGTTGTCACACTAATATAAACTAACCCATGACCTTACACCTGTGAAGTGCATTGTACAGAATCAAAAACAAAATAATTAATGATATTGCTGTCAATCCTTCCATAAGTGTCAATATCGGGGTGGACACATTCACCTCAATATTTAGAACACGTGTTTGTCTCTCAGCAGGACTTTTACGTTGACAAAATTAAAGACAGTTACGCCACCACTGATGCATAAAATGAAGTGTCTGATGCCTAAAATATCCCGCTGGAGGACCCTCAAACCACCATTTCATATCTGTCTGCCCAAATGCTGAAACAAAACCCACACCCTTGGATCCTTGTCACTGGGGGGGCTTAGTCTTAGCATGCTTTTAAAACCTCAGATGCTAATGGAATGGCGGCTTACTGGGAGAAGTGGCGGGAATCTGACTTTCTATTATAGAGGGCATGAGAACATGTTTTTTCTTCTTGGTGATTTGGACAACCATTGGAGATTATGTAGGAATGTTCAACAAATCACTGGCATATTACTTGTGCATACTGATGCTATTCCACCACATCTGCTGTCACCTATAATGCAGTCGTGTCCTATGCGACACCAATACAGTATCTTGTGACCATGACACTCAAACTGTGCGCATGTTTACAGACTGTGCTGGAACCCACTGGAGGTGAAACTCACCACCTACTGCTGCAGCAAACCCAGAGCTTGTGGTTGATGCTGAGAAATCTCCTTCTTCAGTCTCCTCCTCATGTTGCCAGCATGGTTTACCTCAGGCAGACACATAGTATTTGAGAAGGCCATGTTGAATTTCAACTCCTCTAGGCTATAGCACATGTGTGGTAAGTCAAGCATGTGTGATTGGGTGTAAATCTCGCCCATTTGTCATTTTCTGAACTTTATTTGCTCCAATGGTGACTCTGTGTGATGTTTACTATGAGATAGGTCACTGTCAGCAGAGGACATTTTCACATGTCACAGTAGAACAAGCACAGGTGTGGGCTAAATAATAAAATCAGTGATGGCTGAATTCTATTTAGATGCTTCTCAGGGTGCTGGTGTGTGCAGGCTCACTGTCACACTGTCAGTACTCGGACAAAGGAATAGCACAGAGTCATCTTACTATATAATGACGAAAACTCTGTCTGTGGGTGTGTCTGTTTCACGTTTTTCTCCTCACTGACTTGGTCAATCCATGTGAAATTTGGCACAGTGGTAGAGGGTCATGGGAGGATACAAATAAAGCAATATTACATCACTTGGCCAAAAGGGGGGTGCTATAGCAACCAATTGAAATTGTAAACTTTGAATGGGCATATCTCATGCTCCGTATGTTGTAGAGACATGAAACTGTGCACAGAGATGCCTCTCCTCATGAAGAACAAATTTGCCTCAAGAACCCATAACTTCCAGTTATATAGATTTTCCGCCATTTTGAATTTTTTGAAAAACCCTTAAAATCAATCTGCATGAAACTCGGTGAACATAATCTAGGGACCAATATCTAAAGTTCCCTCTTGGCAAAAGTTGGAAAACTTACTAAAATTGAGCTTAAATATGGCAATGAATATTGTGGAGGGCGTGGCTCATCACATAAAGGTGTATAACATTTCAAGGGTTTCACCAATCACCACGCAACTTAGTAGGCATATGACCACACATAATCTGAGGGGACCCCTCCATTATTGACCCCATCAAACAAAATGGGGGCGCTAGAGAGCTAATTTCTTATCTAGGCCTAACCGCCATTTTGATTTTTACTAAACTTGGTAGATATGTGGAACAGGACGCCTCAAGGTGACTGGAGAAATTTAACTCTAATTGGCAACTGGGTGGCGCTATAACAACAGAAAAATGCTTAAAAATGGCTAAAATGCAACCGATCTCTGTGGCTCCCCCTGTGGCCCAATGTTTTGTTTTTTTTCTATTTTTTGGTATGACTAAGTCATGGTATGGTATGTTGTACATAATCACAGAAACAGTGTGTCATTCTGTCAGTGTGTCATTCTGTCTGTCCCACATTTTTCTACTCACTGACGTGGTCAATCTATGTGAAACTGCACAGAGGCATTGAGGATTGGCATAGGTAGAAGGTGACAAAGCTACCAATGGGTACGGACTAATGTTAATTAGTAGTGTTATTAGTAACACCTGTGCTTTTCTTACTATGAAGAGTCAAAATGTCTGCTGTGTTCAGTCCGTGACTATGACAGGTAAGTTATGACTTTTTTGTTTGTTTGTTTTTTGGTCACAACCTTTATTTGACATATGCATTTGAGTACAATGTAGAAATTGGAGGAAAAGGGAGGGGTATGGGTTCCCCCAAGCCAGCCTGGAATTGAACCCCTGACATTGCGGTTTTTTGGTATAAAACCACATTTCTACTGAGGTGAGTAGTAAGCTATGTCATATTTTTGACAAATAGTCTTCAGTTGTACAACAAAGTGCTAGCTGTTAATGGGGAGAACATTTCAGTTATCAAAAAAAAAAAAGTTGAAAGCTAGCTAGTTAGCCGTGTACCGCAACTTAGCCAGCTAAGCTAACGTTGCACTGACATTCATAGCTAACGTTAGCTAGCTAACGTTTGTGGTTAATTTGGTTTGTGCTGTTAGCGTTAGCTTGGTTACACATCTCTGAATATTAGGCTAGCAATGAATTAGCTTTAAGTGATGAATATTAAATAAGGATATTGTTATCTAACTTGGAACAAAATAATTATTTTATTTGGTTGAAAATAACCTCAGTACTTTCTTAAAAAACACCACAACTCCCTGAGGTAGAGAAACGTTCTGGACTGCCCTCTCCTAAGGTCTGCTGTGTTTGATTTAGAAATTATTTAAGCTACTTAAACAATTAAAATAAAGTCTCTTTCAAACTAACGCACTGGTAGCATGGTCACAAATCACAATTATTTAAGCAGTAACTCTAGATGCATTGTTTGGGCTTTCAGCCTAACAATTACTCCCAATATCCATTGATGAATTTAAGGGCATCATAAAGAATGTGGTGACAGAGACGTGTGCTTGTTTTTCTTGAGAGGCCACTATGTTTCAATAGTTGTTGTTTTATTGTGGCTTTTTGTATTATATGTTGTATTTACTGCATTTTAAATGGATTTTTATTGGTTGCTACCTTGGGTCTCTCTTGTAAAAGAGATTTTCAATCCCAATGGGACTTCCTGGGTAATTAAAGGTTAATAGGCTAAATAAATAAAAAGTGTGCATTAATAAAGCACCAATCACAAAGCCAAGAAAGTATTTCCTTTGAAACAGCTGAGCAGTTATGTCAGAGTAATTCTACTGTGTGGGGTTAATTTTAGCATTTTGAAAAACAAACAAAAAATTTAATACAGTAATACAAGTGTAGCTTTAATCTCCTGAGACCCTGTGTCCTCATATGAGGACGTCACACTTTGGGTTTAATTGAACTTCTTCATTCTACTTAACTTAGACCTGTTGTCCTCATTCGTGGACACTTTTTTGTGCCATCTAGTGGTAGTAAGAACACAATACACTAATCCATGTAAAAACAAGTTGGCAGCCATCTCTGCCAAGTCAGTCTGCAGCCGATCCTGACACAAAAGTGGACAAGGTTCAAAACCTGATCACATTTTATGGTTGAAACTTATTTATTTGCGATGATGATAATATTTGTAGTTTGATATGGCAACAAATTTGACCAATTTTAGCAACAGTAACAAGGCAAAACACTGTTAATTAGGAAGTGCACTTTTGAGGACATTGGGACTTTATTGTTGTCTCATTTGAGGACATTGGGATTTTATTGTTGTCTCATTTGAGGACATTGGGACTAAATTATCATTGACAATATTTCGTTTTTTTATACTTATCGGGGCCAACTGATCCCAAATAGCCAGGAGAAATTGAAAATGCATACCAAAAGAAAGTTCGGGTCTCAGCAGGTTAATTTGTAGATCCTTTTTTTATTTATTTTTTTTATGTCTGCATGCATTTTTTTTTTTTTTTTTTGTATTTTCGCTGTCAACCCCAGGCAGCTAAACCACGTGGGCTGTCTGTCAATAAAGGCTACCTGCGTGAAATCATGTGACCCCGAGCAGCAGTCCTGTTTTACCTGTAAAAAGTAGCGGAATTATGAGATTGTTTCAGCTCCACATGGTTACACGGGTTGCTCGCAGGCAGGAGCAGGGAGGGACAAGAGGCAATGAGAATGAGGTGGGGAAAAAAAGCAGAAAGGGAGAGCTCAGGACTCCCCTTCAGGCATCCGAACAAGTCTGGACTGTTCTGCTGCCGCTTGTGTGCAGCTAAGACAGGCAGCCTCGGGAATCAGAAACTGCGTTTTACAGTCTCCTGCAGGGATGCAGCGACAGGAGCTCGGTTACTGAGCTTACAGTGGATGATCGTGGGGTTGTCTTGTGCTTTATCTTGTTTTTGAAGCTGTGACACTGGACACGGGTGACTGGGAGTACTACTGTGTGTCCAGACCACTGCACGGAGAGCGAGGGCTGGGTATGCCACAGGTGGAAAGGTGAGGAGCGGCAGGCTGTGACCCCGGTGCACGGAGCAGAGATCCCCAGGTAAGATGAGGCAGAGGGGGAGAGATGAGGTCCAGCGCTGGGCTCTGTGGCTCTAATGTGCATTGGTCTAGTAAATACCGGTGTTACTCCGTGTTTGTGCACAGTGTGCAAGCTGCATTAATTCTGTAAGATCAGGGCGTAGTTTATTGATATGTCTGCGATATCACACGTGCATATGCATGAAAATTTGGGCATTGATTGCTCTACATGTACATGCAGATAAGCAATAACTCCCATACTGCACGTATAGAGAGCACTTGTCTGAATTGTAGCCAGTGCACCACTCCTTAACCTATTGCTTTCCCTACAGCTACAGCCTTGACTTTGAACAAGACGTAGCAGAACATTCATCACCTCAAGTCACCTTCTCTGAAATTTGACTGTAAAATTAGACACCTTCAGAGTATCAGAATCCTGCTGGAGTGATGATAGAAAACTTTGCAATGCACTTTAAATGAAATAATGTCCAACCCCGCGAAAACCTGTAATCACACTCCTTTGCCCTTGCAATCTCTCAGTCTGCATTAGTCTTCATTACAGTTGTTCAGGACAACGGGGGAGTGTACAACCACGCTGACCTTAGCTGAACTCATTTAGTTATAGGGCAATACTCCTGCTACACACCATGATGCTGCACAGAGGAAGGGGGTCTCGCTCCTCCTCTTCCTCCTCTGTCTTTGATTGGTTTCAATTGTCTGTTCCACTGACTTCTAAGTGTATCCATGTCTTTGCTGTGGTTTGGCTCATGCAACAGCAAAAAATCCCCCTATTGACATGGAATTTTTTATTAATGTCTAAAAAAAGCTCCAGCCGGACTGATTAGACTCTTCCTCTCTGCCTCACCTTCGCCCTCCCACTGTCTCTCGCTCATCTTTTCATTCACTGCATTGCTGCAGCTATACTTGGTTAAAGTGTTTGGTGTGCCAGTCTGGAAGTGGAGAGCTCTGGACTGATCCCAAGTGTGTCATCTATGGAGGACTGCAGCTGGTTAGTGTCTGTGTTAGATGTGTTTGATGTTGTTTCCGTCGTCCTCCAGAGAACATTCTGTTTAGATCATCATTTTTAAGAGCGACGCTTAAAATAATTTGATCAACAATGGGCATTTTGCAGGAAATGTCTGCAGCCAGATTTTAAATGGCCTTTTAGTGTGTTTATGCCAAATTAAACTAGCTAAATGCCAGGGGATTTTTACTTTTGTCTCCATTCATTCATGTCTTTGAATGAGATTGAGATAACCCATTGATAATCCGGTTATTTCCTCGATTTATTCCATCTGGCTTTTGTTAATAGTAATGTGAAAGCTTGTGAAATAAAAGGAGGATAAGATCAGGGCTGCTTTTGAAACATGTTCCAACAAGGGGTCATAGAAAAATTCAAAAGCTGACTGTTTTTAGTACTTTTGTTTAGTTTGGATGAGACAGACTGATAATCCCTTAATAGCAGATGTGATCGATGCTGTACTTGACCTCAGGGTAGAGGTCAGAGGTGACAGGATCAGTCTATCCAATTTGTGACTCCCAGACAATCTCAGAGTGAGGCTCTAATGTTCTTGCTACCAGCCGTTTTTTGGCCACCAAGAACACAAAATCCTGGTGTGAGCAAATTTGCAGGAGTCTCTGTTAATTAACTGTGACACCCCGCCCTCCTTTGACCCCGCCACCCCCTTGTCCACTTGTGTCACTCTCTGTCCCTGATGACTGATGTTCTGCTCAGGGAGCTTACACAATCCTGCACTCTGTCACATTGCAGTGGCCTGTGGCCCGCCGCCCCCCCTGGGAGAATGGCATCTCTAACTAAACCACAACTCTGATCCCGCCTGAGCCGAGCTTTCAGAAAGCACAGCACAGTCTCTGTACAGCTCCCACCAGAAGCTCTGGGATGAGTCCTAATCTCTCTTTCTTCCTGTGCCTGAAAAGTCCTTTTATTCTTCTGTCACTGCTTTTTGCGTACAGGTTGTTTTTTTTCCACACTAAGTCCTCACTTGATTCCTGTTGAGGATGGTTCTAAGCAGCACTTTGCTACTAAGACATTGACCTTTTAACCCTGTGTTAGGTTTGATTCCCAGGTGGCCTATAGAGGGTGTGGCCATACCCATAAGCCAGTTACTTCATCCTTTAAAAATTCCAGGTGTGGAGGCCACCCTAGGAATGCACTTGATGAGTATCTTTACATATGCTGTAATAAAAAAGGAGTTTATCAGAGGAAGTGGGATCCTCCCACAATTGGCAAGTGGTCTAGCCCGGTGCATTATTTCAACAATTATTTGAAAATATATACCAACAGGGCTGCATGTACTCACAGATTAGAATAGAACAGGGTTTGTGGGTGTGTTGTGGGAGTGGCAGGAAGGGGAAGAACTCTGTTTTTTGTGATACGTTTACTGACACTTCTTTTAGTTGTCAGCTGGTGTTTTTTAGTACTCCGCGTATCATTAATGCCCTTCAGTTATGATCTGCTAAGTGAGCCAAGATGTAAGTGCTCAGAATAAACTGTGGGTATAGACTCTGGTTTCAGCACCTGGCTGATATAACGAAGCCACAAATAAACATGGTTTCATTAGATTCCATACAGGAAACAGAAAAATAACATCAAAGGTGAGCATGCAGATGTGGCTCATCAGGAGCTAATTGTACATAATTTAATTTTATAGGTGCAGAAGTCTTAGAATAAATCCTTTGAATCTTTAAAAGGGAAAGGGGCATTACATTTGGTTCATATTAAGCGTAATGTGTGTGCTGCGTGTAAGGGACAAAATCTCTGAAGCTGTTGGGTTTGTGGGCTCTGCATCTTACAGCGGGAACAGTTATGGCTCATTATGAGCCTCTGGCTTCAGGCAGTGTCTGAAAGTTTTTATTCTTGAACAAATTAAAAGAGGAAAAAGTCAATGGATTCCAGTGTCTATTTTTGGCTATGCAAGTATTGCTTTACTTTGTGTACTACATACTCAATATACAATGTATGAAGTACTCAAGTATTGTCACATAAAGACCCAAGTCCTCCTAAATCTTTAGCACCATAACTTTTAAAGGAATAGTTCAATATTTCCTTATACTTTCTTACAGGGGATAAAGGCCTTGGTACTCCGATTTACATATGGGTTTTCTAAATATCTGTTACCTGATAAAAATCATTAGGCACAGAAACCTTGAAAACTGAGTCCAATTTGTTGCGAAAATTTGCAATATGAGATAAAATGGAGAGACACATTTGCTTCCTTGCATCTCTCCACCAGAGGTACCCCCCCTCTGGCTGTTGCCACTCTCTGCTCACTAACAGGCTGAGCTGTCCTCCCTCTCTGTCTCCACACTGTCACGCTCGCTCTGTGTGCAGTCCTCATCCTCTGTTACATCCTCCTCCTTGTCGTCGTCATCATCATCATCACCTGTTGAAAGTGGGCTATCTGAGTTATGAAATGATATTGTGCACCCTGTTCTTCTCTCTTGTTGTGGATGAATATGTCCTGCAGATTACGCCACATTTTCTGTACTGCTTCTTTGTCAAACATCTCCAGGCTTTTGTTGTATGGAAGAAAAAATTGAACCTGTTCCGAAAACTTTAATGGTGGAGGAGAGTTTCGGAGTCAGCGTGTAATGTGATTGACACAACATGAGGATGTATTTATTTTTAAAAAATGTGATAATTTTGGACAAAAAAAATATATGTGTAAATATATATAAATTCATATGCACGTGTGTGTGTGTAATGTTCTGCTCTGTGTATCTATGTTGTTTCTGTTCGTAACCTGCCAAGGGACTGCAGATGCAAATTAGCTTTAAGCTAAATCTGGTGCAATACATCAAACGGCAACATTTATGTTTAATATTGTACATGGTCCCTTTACAAATAAACTAAAATAAAATAAATAAATATTAGACGATTGATACCACTCATTTCTGTGGGTAAATGTATTTAGCCACAACCAGGAGACATTTAGCTTAGCTTAGCATAAAGACTGCAGACAAGGGAAAATGGCTAGCGTGGCTCTGTCCAAAGGTAACATAATCCTGCTGACAGCACCTCTAAAGCTCACCATTTAACATGTTCTTGTATCTTGTTTGAAGCTGGAGTGGGGAAGTTTCTTCTCCCCCCTCAAGCAGTGAGAGATTTTACATAAATACTGCAGGTGAGCTTGACGCATCTCCTCCGCCCCAAGGAGAGCTTTCCTCAGGTCTTTTTGACTTTAATCCTTCCTATGAAGGCTGAGTGTCTTTTCTATCTAAACTTCTCTTAAATACTTTTAGGATTTTCCACCATACTCCTAGCTGCTGCGCCGTTGCTATGGTCTCTCCGCCCTTCCTCTCCTCTGTAGCTCTGATTGGCTGATATAACACTTTGGGTGTGCAAGCACAGGAAAGTCGCAGCAGACACCAGAAACCACAACACCAGTATACTACGAAATACAGAGAATTTTCTATGGTAGCGATGGGCTTAATTGGCATTGTCAGCACTGTGGGAACTCATCTTTAATATGTAAATGTCCCGCACTCTGGCTTTAATCTAAACAAAACTTAAAGTCCCTGTGCAGTGAAACTGAATAGTTGAGCGGTGTACAGTTACAAGAGGGATTTAAATCAAATCCTTCACATTTGATTGGACCACTATAAAGAGGGCAGGCCTTAAGTTACGTGTGATTCAGAGCTGCAGCAGAATCCACTGTTAAGCAGACTGTGTTGGCTCCACACACACCTCCCTCGCCATTAGATCAGGAGGAGGCTAAGAGATGAATAAACACACATCTCCTCCTACTGTATCTCTCCCCATATTGCTGTTTAGCTTGCTGCTACAACCCATAAAAGGTGAGGTGCAGGATTATATGACCAGTGTGGCTAGCTAGTCGCTCAGAGTCTCATTTAATTTTGTTGAACTTTTGTAAAGGCCCCTTAGTGCATAACGAGTCATCAAACATTTGAAACCATTTTACCTGGTTTTACAGAAAGAGCAACGATAGGGA